AAAATTCAAAATAATCATACTCAAAAGGCTGGGTGTGACAGGCCTCAAGCAGATGTCCGATGGGCTCTGCGGTCACACAAATCTCTTTCAGGTACCTTAAGAAGAAATAGCCTTCCACGGTGTGGGCAGCCGGGAAGTGTCAACCGCCCTCACAACTCTGTCAGCACCCAAGTTTCTTCTGACTGCTATCCTCCTCCTCCATCATTACCTTCTAATCTTCCTTCACGTCTCTTAATTAATGATGCTGCATCATCTTCAATTTCTCCTACCTCTGCAGCCTTCGACAACGATCTGAGTCCACAGAACAGCATCCCTGGTCTCCTTAAACCACGCTCCAAATTACATATTGGAGCCTTCAATGTCCGCACCCTCCGTCAAATTGGCCAACAGGCTTCGTTGGCAAAGACTCTAGCAACTCGGGCATGGATGTGTGCTGTGTTTGTGAGACACGCATACAGGACCCAAGTGTGGTTATTCACCTGACCTCTCCTGACCAATCTGGTGAATCTGCAAAATTCACCCTTCGAGTTTCTGGAGATTCGATAGCTAGCTCTCGTGGTCTTGCAGGTGTAGGTATAGCATTAAGCACCAGGGCAGAAAACTCACTACTAGACTGGATCCCAGTTGATAGTCGCCTCTGCGCTATGAGGCTGAACGGCACAGTGAGAACTAAAAGGAATAGTGAGACTCGCCGTTGTCTCTTTGTAATCTCTGCTTACGCACCCACTGACTGTAGTTCGGATGAAGTGAAGGACGAGTTCTACCATAAACTGTCTAACCTCCTCTCGAAAGCCAAACGTTCGGACGTAGTGGTTGTTGCAGGTGACCTCAACGCACAGGTGGGTAGACTGAGTGAGGCAGAAAGGCACTTAGGTGGCACTTTCGGAATCCCAGCTGAACGTACAGATAACGGTGATCGCCTATTACAACTATGCTCAGATAACCGCCTATTTTTAGCCAGCACAAATTTCAGACATAAAGAAAGGCACTGTCTGACCTGGCGTCCACCGAGCTCGACTCAGCGATGGACACAGATAGACCACATTGCTATTAGTCATCGCTGGAGAGGATCGGTGGAAGACTGCCGCTCCTTCTGGAGTACGTGTTTGGACAGCGATCATGCGTTGGTCCGAGCACGTATATGCCTGCGTCTCAATGGACGTAGAAAAAATTTGGCAACAAAACCACTACGAGTTCTGCTGGACAACGAAAACACCAAAGCCGTGTTCAGTGAGAAGTTGGCTAGGCAGTTATCGGAACAAAAGACTGTCACTCATCCAGAAGAAGCTTGGTGCCATCTTCAGTCTACTGTAAAAGCAGCACTGGAGACTGTAGCCGACTCCAAGATAATGGCTAAAAAGAGCCAGTGGATATCAGCAGCTTCTTCCAAACTAATGGATGCACGTGAATGCATCCCTGCAGGCTCTGAGTACAATGAAGAGCGAGCGCAACTTAAAAATAACTGACGAAAAGTCTGCGCAACGATCGTGAACAGTGGTGGGCAGCAAAGGCTAAAGAGATGGAAAAGGCAGCGGCGATCGGTAACAGTAGACAGTTATTTAGACTTATTAAGGAGACTGGGGGGAAATGGTCAACAACAGTTAGTGATAGCGGAGAAGGACGGATCTGCGATTCACTCGCAGGGAAGGCGACTGGGACGATGGGCAGAACACTTGAGGAACAGTTTAACTGGCCTCCAGCCACCATTGCGCTGCCCGCTATCCAGTCGGACCCTGAATGGGACATAGAGACAGGTCCCCCAACACTAGAAGAAGTTGAGAAAGCGGTAGGTAGCCTGAAACGGGAAGGGCAGCAGGACCAGACGGACTACCTGCTGAGGTATACAAGAATGGTGGTAGAGTTCTCTTAGTCAGGCTAACGGAAGTGTTAGCCAGTATATGGGAATCAAATACGATCCCCTCCGACTGGTCTAAGTCACTCATCATCCCAGTCTTCAAGAAAGGCGAGAAGTCCTCTTGTGATAACCACAGAGGAATCAGCCTGAAACATAGTGTCTAAGATCCTAAGTTCTATAATTCTCCGACGCCTGAGTGGAGCTCGGGAACAGCAAGCCCGAGAAAACCAGGCAGGCTTTAGACCTGGCCGTGGATGTATCGACCAAATATTCACACTGCGCCAGGTCCTGGAACATAGGCATGCTTACAGACGCCCGACAATAGCTGTATTTCTCGACCTGAAGGCGGCATTTGACTCCGTTGATCGAGAAGTCTTATGGCAATGTCTGTCACTGAAAGGCGTGCCTAGTAAGTACATCACCTTATTGAAAGCTCTCTACTCGAACACTTGTGGGCATGTTAGAGCCTATGGTGAGTTGTCCAGGGAGCTATACTCATCAAGTGGTGTCCGTCAAGGATGCCCACTATCCCCATTCTTATTTAATTTTATCATAGATATTCTTATGGAGGTTTCCCTCTCGTCACCTAATTACAAAGACGTTGACCCGATCACAGGTGAATTTTCCTTAGATCTAGAATATGCAGATGACATAGTCCTGTTAGGTGAAGACGCTGACAAGATGCAGAGTCTTCTGAACACTTTGAGTGGGAATTTGAGAATGTTTGGGATGCGATTTTCACCACCCAAATGCAAATTTTTGCTCCAGGACTGGTCTTCAGCGGTACCGCGGTTAACAATAGAGAGTGAAGTGGTTGAGTGTGTTGACCACTTCACTTACCTGGGAAGTAGGATCAACCCGGTGGGTTAGTTGCCGATGAGATTTCTGCACGGATACAAAAGGCTCGATTGGCTTTTGCCAATTTGCGCCACCTATGGCGCCGCCGTGATATTCGTTTGTCTATTAAGGGTCGCGTGTACTGCACAGCAGTCCGCTCTGTTCTACTGTATGGCTGTGAAACATGGCCATTGAAAGTGGAAGACATGAAAAGGGTTCAGGTGTTTGACCACCGTTGCCTTCGTAGTATAGGACGTATTCCGTGGTGTCACCATGTGAGTAATGCAGAAGTTAGGTGTAGAGTTTTAGGGAGAAGAGGTAAGTCAGTCGACGAGGTTGTGAACCTTCATCGACTGAGATGGTTGGGACACGTACTACGTATGCCTAGTCACCGATTGCCTCGTCACACAATGTTGGCTGAGGTGGGTCAGGCTGGAAAAAGGCCCGAGGTGGCCAGACTAAAACATGGCACCAATGTATGAAGTCTCTGACTGTTGGTTTAAGCCATGTAGGACGATGCAGACTAGGTGGTTGGGGTCGCGGGACAAGAGGAACCAGTGGTTGGAGACCCTAGGTGATATGGCTCAGAACCGAAGTCAGTGGCGCAGATGTATACACACATTATCCTCATCTTAACAACGCTATACCGAATCTCACCATTTTGTCACTCCTCTTTCCTTTCTTCTCCTACTTTATATTTCTTTTGACTGCATTCACTTATCTTCATCCTTCACCTCACTACCTTTCTACTTGATGAACTGACGTGAGGTGTGGCAACTCAGACCGTTACGCAGTAATGCCTGGTCCTATGTTGATAATGATGATGATAGGGTATTATTTACTGGATGACGTTTAGAGTGTCTATTGATCATATTTATACCAAAGTAATCATAAGACTTTCAAACTTTTTTAATTTAGTCCTATGGTTTTTCATTCGTTTGTCTTGATGGCACAAAATTTTTCCAGACATCTGTAATATGTGATGAATCATTCCTGTTACATGTGTTAGGTGTTGAGTCAATAAACAAAGATTATGTGATCAGTCCTCTCCTACCACCTAGCTACAGTGGATTTTATAATGGTCACTCTATAGTATGATTATGGGTCGGTGTAAGCAGAGCGATAGCCGAGTTTTCTCCTAAATTACTTATCCTACTAGGGTCTACCATTGTTTCGCTAAATTTTTGTGCTCTGCTATTCTAATAGACCCTGATCGGTCACTTTGATCTACATACTTGACTTCACAATCACTACACGGTATTTGGTAGATTAGATTATTCTTCTTAACTGGCTCTACTGGATCTTTTAGCCTACAAAGTTCCCCTTTTTCTCTTAAGAATGTCATTTCCTACTGATTTTTGCAAAGTGACTCTAAAAACCGCCCTACCAACTTCTGAAATAACCAGTTACGTTTCGTTATTCTGTGCAAAATTAGCTTCTCAGACAAAATACCGAAACCCAATTGGTTATTTCAACAGTTGCCAGAGTGGCTTTTAAGGTCTCTCCTTATTTTCGCCTCTCTCATCAATCTGATATTTACACGTTGCACCACGTGCCTCCTCTCAAAGCTTCGAACCAACACGATTGTTTGTGAAAGCATTCAGGAATTTAAGGTTTCGTATCAAGATCTTGACAATTTTACTGCACATTATAAGAGTTACCACTCACATTTTAACTAATATTATAATTATAATTACTTCTACTGTTATTACTATTATCCATTACTTAAATTCTCTCACGGGATATAGTTTTTCAAATGTCACGAATCTAAACGTTAACAATTAATTCACTAAGTTACTTCGCGGAATATCACATTATTTATGTTATAATTTATTACAGTATGTATATCAGTTTGCGAAAGCGTTTGACGACATCTAACGTAGTAATTCCAGTTTAAACATTATGATGGGGTTACATATTTGGAGGTTTTGAATGGGAAGCCATTCAAGCTAAATATGAGTAAAATAACGTATGCCCATAACCTTGAAGAAAGCCGACCATACACTCAAAATAGCACCCACAAGCACTACAAACATAAGGACTGACAGCGAACCTTCAGAACACAACCTGTCTATATCGCAGAGCCCCTTATCGTCTGGACATTTCAATATTATAGTCGATTTCTTTCAATTCTAAGAAAACCATAAATCTTCGTCAGATAGTAAGTGACTTCATTCAAAACCTAGCGCTCTCAAATATATAATGCCCAATAGTTAACACTTAGAAGTTGTGCCACTCCACTTATTCCTTTATGACTTTTCTCTCGGATGGTAAGGTTTTATCACCGCTGAAAACAAAAGCATTATCTCTGATAAAAAAAGTGTATTGCCTTATTCATTTGCTTTATCAAGCATCCATCGACTAGGGAGATTATAAAAATTAGGCTAGTTTCGGTACTTTACGACCTTTAATATATTTCCTCTCTGTGTGAACACTCTTCTTATTTGAACCACGAACTACGGAATACAAGTAAGGAATGAAAGAGAAATATCCCAATTGATCAGCTCCTTTAATTGGTCGAGGACCAATTGTTTTCCGCCGTTTCACGTATAAATGTCGCATCAAATAATATAAAGCTGAAAATAGACAAGAGAACCATGTTAATGCAAGAAGAAGGAGACATCAATATATGACAGGAAATGTTACTAAAACCAAAAAGCAAACTGCTGAATTTCAAATGCATAACTTTATATGACATTGGAAAATAATTATCTTCACAGCTGTCTTACATGTAGACCAGTTCCTTAATGCATCCCTCGTGCGCATGCTGAGGTACCCTCTATTTCGATGTGCAATGTTAGCCGAATAAGAATTAGACTCAAGACGACCAGCTCAGGATGTGGCATCAGTGCATAAAGTCTGAGGTGTGTAGAAAGACATAAACTACCTGCCTAGGGTCCTCGAGAATCGATGGTTACAGAATCTTGGTGATAAGATTGACAGTTGAGTAAAGTGACGCAAATGCATTCAAAACTTTGGACAGTTCCACTAAGCTTCTTCAAATTCTTTAGCCTCCCAGATACTTTTGTACATTTTTATATTAGTCTTTTTCTACACACTTGCTCTTTGCATGCTGCTATGAAGTGTGGCAGCATGAACCAACGCGAGGTTCTCATCATCATCATCATCAATATTAACATAGGACCAGGCATTACTGAGTAACGGTCTGAGTTGCCACAGCTTTTATCACCACATCCAATAAAAAGGCAGTGAGGCGCAAGATGAAGATAAGAAAATCCAGTCAAAAGAAATATAAAGTACTAAAGGAGAGAAAGGAAGAATGAGAAAATGGTGAGATTCGGTATAGCGTTGTTAAGATGAGGATAATGTATGTATACATCTGCGCCACTGACATCGGTTCTGAGCCATATCACCTACAGTCTCCAACCACTGGTTCCTCTTGTCCAGACGACCCCAACTACCTAGTCTGCATCGCTCCACATCGCTCAAACCCACAGTCAAAGATTTCATACATTGATGCCGTGTTTTAGTCTGGCCATTTCGGGCCTTTTTCCAGCCTGGACCTACTTCGGCCAACATTGTGTGACGAGGCAATCGGCGACCAGGCATACGTAACACGTATCCCAACCATCTCAGTCGATGATGGTTCATAACCTCGTCAACGGATTTACCTCTATTCGTTTGCATTACTCACGCAGTGACACCATGGAATACGGTCCATAACACGAAGGCAATGGCGGTCAAACACCTGAAGCCTTCTCATGTCTTCCACCTTCAATGGCCATGTTTCACAGCCATATAGTAGAACAGACCGGACTGCTGTGGAGGTGCAGTACACGTGACCCTCAACAGACAAACGCATATCACGGCGGTGCCATAGGTGGTGTAAATTGGCAAGAGCCAATCGAACCTTTTTTATCCGTGCAAAGATTTCACCGGCCACTGAGCGACCAGGGCTGATCCTATTTCCCAGGTAAGTGAAGTAGTCGACACACTCAATCACTACACTCTATCATTAGCCGTGGCACCGTTGTAGACCAATCCTGGAGCAACAATTTGCATTTGCGTGGGTGCAAGGTTCTAGGTTGATTTTTTCTGTTTGTTTCCGTTCTGCAACTTAACACCATACCCACATTAGCGAGTCTACGGGAGCTAGCCATTGAGTCGCCGGACACTCATAAAGTGAATTTTACAGATTTGCTATACTGACTAGGTGGGGTCAAGTGAGTGACCACACTGGGGTTCTGTATGCTTAACATCCATGGCTCTAGATTCCAGAGTCTTGACAACAGACATCAGTTGTTTGATCTAGCATAGGGTTCGAATGTTAAGAGCTCCAATGTGAAACTAGCGGCGTTGTTTACAGAGATGGATGGTAAGCAATGGTCACAGGATGAGAAATTGAGGGGGCCGTAATCGGTTAATTTTTGGTATCAAGAAGTGAAGGTGAAGGAGGAGATAGAGGTAACGTAAATAGGTAATGGTCAGACGAGTTATGTATACTTCTCGAAGCGTATGGGAAGTTGGTACTTTCGGGTTGCCTACCCTGTGAATATTGTTTCTGGACGGTACCTAGACGACAAAATGGATCAGCGATAGTGGTTCGTGACCGCAGATTCCTAAGGATATTTGCTTGAGGTCCGTCACACAAGCAATTTTTAAGTTTTGTATTGATATTTGATTGTTCTGCCGTCGGAAAAGAAAAAACTCATACAACCGGCGCTGGCAAACTGTACGGCGAGGAGCGCGTCATTTATAACGGCGGACCTTTTGTAACCTTTCTGCCTTCTGACTAGGAAGGAAGCAACAGTATGGACTACTAGTCATACATGAGAAACAGCTTACTGCTATTACACCTCACCTAGCCAGTAGTACAACTTTGCTTTCGGAAGTCCACCATAGCTGAAACCATTTGCACTATCTGAAAGACCTTTCCGGTATGGTTGGAGCTCAAGAAACAATCTTTCCAGTCACTATAGCTCTTGACAACACTGTGATAAGAACAGAACTTATGTGATAGGAACATCTAAGAAGGTTTGAAATTGTTCACCATAATGATATTGTGTTACTGTTGTATTTTCGGCAAAATCTGGAAAAAAAATATTACCCTTGTTTGCCTTTCTCATCCATTTCTTTCCGTGTTTATTTTAATAGTTCTTGGATCTCTGTTTCTATGACGTTGGATCTATATTCTTTTGTGGTGTGTTGGAATCAAAGATCTAATATTCTCCTTCTTCAATTTACCTCATCAACAGAGAATTAATTTTGTACACACAACAGGTCCTACCATAACAAACGGTAAATGTCTACAGAAAAAGTTGGTACAACTGCCAGTTAATTAATCGAACAACTTCAATCATCAGACAAATAAAATACGCAAAATTGACCAGGTTTTTAAGCATACAACTGAAATCTCTGTCTTACCATTCTTGTACACAAATAACGTCGATAATTGAACGTTTGATGAAATTCTTTACACCCTAAATTTCAATGCTCATAGGAAATCATAGGGTGTCATTATAACTACAGGAAACAAATAAAATTCTAAAACACATTATACAGTTTTATTCCTTCTGTCTTTCAACAATTGAAACAGTTTAATCAAATAGGATAGCAATACTAACCAGTTCAAAATTCACTCACCGAATGACATAGCTAATAAGTAGACTTGTAAAAATATTGGGAAATCAAAACTGATATTCGCAGTATTAGGCAATGACAAAGAGAATTTTCCAGATTCTATTAACAAGGGAATTGAACGAACTATCAATTTTCCTGAGAAATAAAATAAAATAATTGATTTTCTAATACCTTGAAATAACAGATGAAATAAATTCGAACAACGTGAAACTGATCGGATAATCTCAAGCTGCTTTATCATTCGCAACAGCACAAAAAGAGTAAGTTAAAACAATAAGAAAGGTATTAAAGTGAGAAAAGCAATACACGAGAAGGCGGTGAACAAACACCTGATTCTTCACCACTGAGATGATAAAGCGTACACAAGCAGCTCAGGAAGTTAGCCATTATCAACAGTCCAGATTTCCACATGTCGTATCGACACATTAAGATACAAGGCAGTTGGATTAAAGGGAGGGAGAAAAAGAGAAGAAAAAGTAATCAGAAGTCGTAGACAGTCATCGATAAGAAAGAAATACGGGATAAAACATCAACGAAATGCGATATGACAACTAGGATACAGATAATATGTGGATGCCTTTGCATCAATGAGATCGATTTCGAGCTGTGTCACCTAGAGTCTCTAAGCACCGACTTCGGTTGCTATGTGCATCCCAACCCATATGCATGCATTTTTCTATGCGGGTCAGATCAGTGGCTAGAAATTTCATAAACTGACGCCACATTTTAGTCTTTAACTGTATCCAGCCTGAACCCGCTTCAGCTAACATTCCGTGACAGTGACTGGGTATGGCGTATGCATGTCCCAGCAATCTGAGTCGGTGATTTACAAACAAACTGACTGAGGTATATCTTTTGCCTAAAACTCTACTATTAACTGATTAAGAAAAATGAATTGTTGAAAGACAATAAAAAAATTGTTAATGGAAATTTCTTAATTACTTTCGCTTAGAGTAATAAGAAATCCATAGCCAATTTTTTTCCTGAATTAAGTCAGGTTTCGAGGTGATTATATGCTGCATATGAAAAGGGAAACTGGATAGAACGTGTATTTTTTTCTTGTTTTCAACTTGAATGACATAAGACGAAGAATAAGAAAACAAGCAGAATAGAAACAATAACGCAAAAAGCAGTAAAAATTATAGAAAAAGTGAATTAAAACTAGAAAAAGGGGCTATAAAAGATTGTAGAACAATAATATTACTTAGTGAGAGATTACAAGAGATTACCTCATTAAGAAAATATTGTAGACATAACCCAAACTGCAATAAAAGTCAAAATGCATTTAGCAACTACGTGCATGTTCGTACAGTGGACATTGTGTGAAGGCTAATGACACTAACTGGCTCCCTAAATTTCCGAAGGTGGGGCTGGGTTCGAACTCGTGACTCAATAGTCAGAAATCAACTGCCTAAACCTATGAGCCACAGTTCCATAAAATTGTGGCGACTTAATAGATTCACCAAGTATCGATAATGCCTTCATGAAAACAACAAGTATGAAACTTGCTACTGTGTTTTACTTTCACGATGAGCACAAATGACTCACCAGCGCAGTACTGGACGTGATAAAACATAAACACTCAGATATCCGTGAGTATACTTCTTTATTCGATCACTAACTTCCTAGATTTGATATGACTATTTGGATAAAACAACTACCTGGTGTACCTAATCGCTCTACTTGTAACTACGCACTAATTATGCAACTCGAAAAATAACTAAATTTAGGCTAATATACTAGTGAATAAAAAATATCACCCAATTTATCCGAGTTACTCAACACTCACCTTCACATATAAATCCAACGGGATACAAAAATATCCATAATGTATGACGTAAATACGTGATAAATCCATTTTGGAAACTTAATAACGATAGTATATAATACGGATACCTGGAAGAAAAGAAGCAAGTCAATGATACAATATACCATAATTTAGATAAAGGTTTTCGGATACGATTTAAAAAGAGTAACAAGACACAGAGTAAAACAAATCAAGATGTCTATTCCTAAATGAGGAAAAATTCATCTGTTGTTGATACTGAAGGAAGTAAATCGATAAAAACGGATCTAAAGGGCAAATAATCTGGTATAATTGCTTCATATCACCTTCGTTTGTCATACTTTACACTAAACTATCAAGGGGAAATCGAAAAGAGGGACGAAGAAATGTGAAAAATGATATCACTAGTCGCACATAGCCGAAGGTCCTACTTGTTATTGTTAACTACTTTCTGTTTTGCTTTTTTCACCTTTCATCTTTATGCCGACTACCTTGATGTGCTGATATTAGGTGTGCAACTTGGACTGTTACGCTGTAATGTTAGGTCTCACGTTGATGCTGATTGGCGGATAAAGCCAAATCCATTAAGTGATCACTGTGGAATAACCAATCTCATGTTTCCTAGTCTTTAGTGCTGACCGAATTCTATCGGTCATTCTGGAATTTGGAGGAGGCTCACCATCGCGGTATGCTTTAATGGATGTTAGTTGGTTGGAGGCAATCGGTAAGAAAAAAAGGACAAGTAAAATATAGAGAAACTGTTTAAAGATTTAGACAAGGAAAACGTTTAGGTGAATATAAACCACTGCAATCAAGTCTAAGACGTATCATCAACAGATGGCTTCAGCTATCTTGTGAACCGTCAAAAAAAGACCAAACCTCACTATACGATACAGATCCATAGTCAGAGGTCTTATAGATTAGTATCATGCTTCGGTCTAGCCAACATTACGTCTTCTCCACCTTCCCCTTGTTGTAAGTAGTTAGGCGCGTGTTCGAAAACCTTAGTCATCGGCGGTCCTCACTGTCAACTAGCCTACATCGTCCCCCCTGTACTCTACTAGTTACTTCCGCAGTAAATACTATCCGCAGAAGACGTTCAAATATCTCACTAGCATCACAGTTGGTGCAAGTTGACGACAATTAATCCAACAATTTCACAAGTAACTTTTTAAATGGTCATAAAGCTATGTAAAGCATTAAGAGGCTGAAATAAGTGACAAAAACAATGAGAAATCAGTATGATGAATGTGTACGCTTCAACATATAAAACTCCTAGATATGTCACTTCCCCAGAAATAATGATTAGCCACTGCTCTAAGGTGGTTTACTCTACAAAACTTTGAATCGTTTTTCTTTTCGCACTATATCAAACCTTTTTTATGCTGACTATTCTGTTTTGACAATTCGACAACTTTAAAAAACCACCTGCTTTTCTAGGTTCCCAAAAGACATTGGAAATACATTTGCACAACAGCACTGTCAGGTAGGTGGTGGTGGGACATCTATTTACTGAACTTGAATCATTCTACTCTTGAGCTACAAAGACTGAAGTCAAGAAAGACCGGTGGTTGATTAGTTTGGGTACACTTTTAGTTTACTTGTAGGTTGATAGCATGATCAACCTAAAAAATGTGTAATATTCACGAAAGCGATAGCTCTTAATACGATAATGGAGAAATATTTTTTCCTATTTGAGTACAGATTATTGACGGAAGAGTAACTGGAGTCAAGAAAACAGTTGCATCTGGGATGATTTAAAACTGATCTTCTACTGGGTAAGGTTAGATATCAGTTTAAAGACTATGTGCGTGTTCTGATTTATACTCCAACAAGAGAGCTCAACTTACCCAGTGACTTAGGTAACTTCCTAAATAACTGCAGATTCATAAACTCAACTCATAGTCTTGGGTAGCCTAATCGTATTGTTTTGCACATGAATGTTTATAACAACTATTTATTGGGTTGATAACATCAGCTGGCTTCCAAAATGAAGCGAAATTGTAAATAAGTAATTAAAGAAACTGATATAACGTTACGTCGTGGTGCATGCTTTAATAATAACCTCCGAATTTCACCCGTGATGGTTTCTCGACTCCTTCATATTAGAAAACACGAAAATACAAGAGGAGTATTGCAAGGTTAATTATCTACAAAGATACTCCGGTTACAGTAACCTTGATTATGAACATACCCTTCTAGGAGGACATTCTTTACTGATTTTATCCCTTCAACTAAACTGATCTCTACACAGACGATCAAGAGCATTCTCTCGAAAATGCGGAGCAAAACATTTGCAAAACATATGTTAAGTGGATCAACAGTGTATGTATACACTGAACACAATGGCTATGTATGAATTCGTGAACTAAGTAGTAAGCTACCCTCTTCTGTTTGGAGACTAGTCATACTACCTGGTTGAGCGATTCTCAGTGGACAAAATCAGGTTCGAATTCGTGATTCACTTGGTGAAAATAGAGAATTTAAACCAGTAAACCGGAAAGAGAAGCAAATTCTCTCTTCGACGAACTCATTTGCTAAAGGTGTGCAATGGCATTTGAAAACAGTTAAAATTCGACTAGTGTACGATTTTAGTAAGTGAATTCGCTGCCTTTTCTTCTCCCTATGACTTAATGGGTATCTTATGCTGTTTAAAGCTAAGCAATGAGCGAGAGTTGTCTGATTTTCGTCGAAAATAACAACAGTAAGCAATCAGGTTAACTTAAGATGTAAGAGGAAAATAAACAGACGTTTTAAGAAAAATTTAGTAAATATTTTGTTTACTGATGCAATATTATGGTAAATCTAATTTAGTCAATATCACCTACCTAACAGTTTCAATAAGACTCCAGGCTAAAAATAACCAGTAGGTTGTAGATTCCGAATGAAATTGAGGATGTGGTAGAACAATCAAAAACAAGGCCAGAGAACGACCAAACGCCTATAAATGCGATTAAAGACATTTACAAAAAGATGTGAAATCCATATTTTCTACTGTTATTATTATTATTTGTTGATGCTTCTGATTTCCGTTGTTATTCTGAATCGAACTGAACAACCTCTGTTGGTATGTGGGTTCCTACCCGGATGCCTCAGTACTATCTGATTATTAATTACGTTGTAAGTTGCTTGGTGGTGGCTAGCAGTGATATCCAGGACATGCCCAGTAGCCTAGTGGGTAACCCCTTGGCCTTTGAAGTGATGGGTTCAAGTCTCAGTGGGAACATCTTCACTTACTGGGATGCAGATACATCCGGTTGACGAGTCCGTAATAGGACGGAATGAGCGTCCCGGATTCAACTGCCAGCCATCACCAAGCAAATTACAATATTACTATTATTGTCATTATTATTATCTGTAAAGTAATCAAGATTGATGATAAAAATCACCTTCTGTACAATCAATAAATCAAACCCCAATCAATAAATCCTAGTCAATGAACAATATTTATCTTTTTTTAAACTATCCTTAAAAACGTTTACGCTTTGGATTGGACTGTAGGTTCGACCGAAAAGTAATATAACAACAGTATAGACAACATTGTTAACCACATTTAGATTCCCAAGACTGTGAAATAGGATCGGAATTCGGCGGTTGATTTTAGTGAGATGGATAAACACAAATGAAATATGCAACAGAACTAGTGGAGAATATTTGTAGCTCAGGTGGATGGTCTTGGTTGTATGAAGTTAGTGCTGATGATGTCGTCTAGAAGGACGATGAAAGCTTCACGATTAAACCACCCAGCTCAGAGAACACAATACAACCGAGATGTAGCAGAACTAGCCTATCTATTTCACAACTGTGGAAGGTGATAATCTTTATGGAAAACAACTGAAATATATTAAATGATAAAATATATGTGTTAGGACTAGGCTATTACAAAGAACAACTGCAATTTAAACTGACTACTACCTTACTGATAGACGACCTAATGACTTTATTTGGAAAACTAACATTAGTCGATGCAATGCATCACAGACATACATACTGTCGTCTAGTACCGAACCATATATTGCAATGTTCCTACTCGTTCTTCTACTACTAAACCTTTTACGTTACACTAAACTACACTATACATAAATACTCCATGTCAGGACAGACAGAAAACATTGAACTCACGTTTAATGCTTATTAGCATTTAATACCCAAATAGATTTGTAACGTTAAGGAAAGTCGTTCGAAGTCAAAGATTCAAATCTGTATCGAATTTGCATCCGTGAAGGTCGGTAACCTTACTAAGCTTTTCAAATTATCTCATATTATCCAATTCGATATACATCCACTAGAAGCACTAACTACACAATGCAAGACTCATTGACTAACTCTTTATGCCTGAGACTCTACGACTAACTTTAACAGGTGATTGAGGAAAACAGACAAAATCAACATAGAACTTCGTGGAGAAGTGTATCAGTTTAAGTTACCTAACCTCATAGTAACATGTAAAGAACAAGTGCAGAAAAGGAGTGATATCAAAGTAGACAAAAGTGCATAGCAGTAGAAAGAATTCAAAGGTTAGTGAAAATATTCAAACGTTAGAAGACATCAGAGAGTGGATACATCTGCATCACTGTAACCAATTTTCAGCCATGTCAACAGCAGTCGCTTAACCATTGATCCCTATCGTCTCGAGGACCCTAACCAGGTAGTGTACACCACCCTACACAGCTCAGACCAACAGTCACAGACTTCAACGACTGGTATCACATTTCAATCTGGTCATCGTGAGTCTTTTGTAAACATAAAAAACAGTAGTATCAAGACAGTTTAAGTGGCACTTAAGCAATACACAAAAAATTAAAGTATAAAGATATAAAACTGAATAAGAAAGACGTTAGTGAGCACTCAAACAATCAACATATAGCAACAAAACATCTGAGATTTAAAGGAAGATGAAGAGTGATCACAAGTACGCTATCGTTTTCAACTTAAAGCAAAACCACTAGGAATTCCTAACAGTAATAGAATGACAGTAAAAAGAAACACATTCCTGCATCATTCAGAAAACTGATTAGCGACTTCATCCATCACTGTCATGTTTTAATGTAAATATGAGGAATGGATAATAAACTACGAAAAATAAGGTAAGCTGAAATCTAACAAACTCACTTGAAGAAATGAAGGTAAGACACTTCCACTTCGGACCCAACCCAACACAGCATGTAAAGGTTCCAATATAGCTAAGATTTGTACGAAAATTAATCGATCAATCACCCATTCATAAAATGGTATTTTGTCCACACTTTTATATTGCAACAATCCATAGATCAAAGCCCCACAAACATAAAGATAACCAGCAAATTGAATAACATTAAAGAAGAATAGATAAATCGTCAACGGATGCTTGACCACTTGAAGAGACAATAAAGTAAAAGAAGCGGTACACTGTCGATTAGAAATTATAAATTGAATCTTAAGAAACAACTTCGTCATAGTTCACCAAAAATGTAAAATATTTAGGCAAAATAATCCTTAATTAACCAGAAAGCCAGTAGCTTTATATAGTTTTATGTACTAACCAGTGGAAAATACTATTTTTACTGCTTCAAAATAGTGCACAAGTGTTCAGGTCAAAGTTCATGGAGTGTATCACAAGCTATAAAGCTCAAATTGGTATTTTAATGCTTAGAATACTGAACCACGACTCGGGAGCCCTGCTCAGGAATTCAATAAAACTGGTCATCAGAAAGAATTACAATATACTTTGATGAAACCAATAACAATCGACTTTAGTCGACTATAGTCCATCAGAATGGTATATTCAATGAATCAGTATGTTCAACACATTTAGACAAGAATAATACAACTCAAAAACATTTCACAACAAAAGGACTATATTCTAATCACATATAATACCACGGAAAAGTATCATAAAAAGTTGCTGTCTAAAAGTCATATAAGCAATCCCTTTACAATAAAGCCTAAACTTGTCAAATCGCAAATTACGAACAACTTACAGTTTATAAATGCCTTCCAATCATCTTCATCCTCTAACATCATCTGTTCTAAATTATGCCTATCCTAAAGAAAGATGCACAATAAAAACAAAGGTTTATTTACAATACCAGACTGCAAATCGATGACGGTAAATTTACTTCACAAAAATCACTAAAATTGAGAACGAAATGTACCAGAAGGCTACCAATATCCAAGATTTTGCAACCGATTTACTACAAGTTCAATACACCAATAATCAGACAGTAATATTCTGCTGTGTATTCAACGCTACGTAAAGCTACTGATAGGTTCAATTAATTTTGAAATGAAGAATATTTGTAGCTCAGGTGAACGGTCCTGGTTGTATTGTGTTCTCTGAACTGAGTTGTTCAATCGTGGAGCTTTCATCGTACTTCATACTGAAGTTAGTGCTGATGATGTCGTCTAGAAAGACAATGAAAGCTCCACGATTAAACCACTCAGTTCAGAGAACACAATACAACCAAGGTTTAATTAATTTCTTACATTTTATGGTCAAATAAAATTTGCGTGCACACCAGAAATGTAGAGCTTTTGTGTTTTTCAATGGTGTTTTATACGAGTTTGTTTTATTACCATTTTTGATCAAATAAACGATGATTAAGCTAATGTAGAGCAAGTGGAAACAAAGCATTACTAAAAGCTGCCATAAATAGTCTCAAATGAATAGTCCAGTATCACAGCCTTAGATATGCTGTTTATGCCAACGATAACAACAATAGCACCAAAAGATGTTACCACACGCTTTGGACACAAAGACAGGACCTTACACAGAAATGTATATACTCAAGTTACCCCACTTAACAACAGGAATCTTTTTAAAAAAGCAAATATGTAAATCAGACAAATAAACGAAGAATAATGGGACAAGAGGGATTTTCAGGCTGGAAGAAGAGTAACTACTTTTGTACGACCGACCTACAACCATAAAGCCTTCAATCACTGAGTACAAAGATTTTGTGAATCACAGAAAGGTCAGAAAAGTGCTTACGAAACGTAACTTCTGTATTGAAAAAAGGGCGGGTTAACTGTAACACTGATTGAAATCTTGGAGGTAAGTCCCCGACACACAATACACAACAATAACTAAGCGTCTTAATATCCAAGTTAACCCCAACTTTTATTACATTCGAACTTTGGGCGTTATTGAGTCGAAAAGTCAGATCAGCTCTTATGCAGAAGGATAACTTTGGAAATAAAGATCTAGAGATTAAAACTCTTAAGAAAGGCAAGCTACGTAATGGAATGCGATAGAGCACAGACTACATTAAGTCAATACACTCCAAAACAAATACTGAAAATACTACCAACACTCCACTCCGATCTGTACTGTCTAAGCGCCTCCAGAGGGAGTAAGCATATCATACAGATAATCTTATTGGTCAGAACAATGTTCTGTCTAATGCTGCCCGCTCATAATACCGTACACTGGTGATGCAAATAGATTAGTAGTCAGGCAGAAACTTGACACTGTCATCAATAAAGCGTATTAAGCACCTAATGTTAGGGTAATTGAAAATTCAACGCCTATATAACAGCCGAAAATCTTGGAATAAGTGAAAGATGTCACATCCCACTACATTTACCAATTTAAATGTGCGGGCGGTCACATTTACACAGGGAGGACTGATCGGTCTTAGAAAACAAGTGCTACAAAACATATTTTAAACTGGTCTCAGAGAAAAATAGAACCGCCTAACCTGATTAATGTTGGAAATAAACATTCGAGCTCCCTAACAGCTAAGCATGTTGTTGAAATAGGGTATAAAAAGAATGTACAGATGTCACTTAGGTCCATCTTTAAAACCTATTGGGTACGAAGCTTGTTGAGGGATTAGTCAGGTTTAAGCAACCTTCAAAAACACTTTGTCATCACATTAAACCTCCCTTGGTAAATTCAGCTTTGAACCCAAGGTTATTGTACTACAAAAAACGTTTCTGCTTTGTTGATCTTCAATATAGTCTTCTCATTTGAAATATTTTCATTTTCCTACCCAATGACTGTAGTTTTTTACATAAATGCCTATAACAAGTACGTGTGTGATAAGACTGTTCGAAATGCTTTGCGGTAATACACTACACGACTCAGGAAAATTACATCCTATTTTTTGCCAAAATTTATAAAGGGAACTGACCTTTTCAAATACATTTTCCAACATGCAGAAAAATCCGATATTCAACAATGTAATAAATAGACATAAAGGCGAAAAAAACTTTTTTTTGGTGATTTCATTTACAATCGTGTACAATCGTGTTAAAAACATTGGGGACAAATAACAGTCTATTATTCCCGAATGGTGCCACGTGATTACCATGATGTTCATAAGCAGAATAAAAGGTTTCCAAAGGCAGAAGAAAATTAGCACTTTGGCGAAAGATCAAGTTCAAGTCCGTGAATTATCAGTGATTCGGTTATGTAGTTGAAGACTTTTGAAATTGTAGGAAGGCATTCTGCAAATTAACTTAAAGGAACTATCAGTAAGGGTAAGACATCCGGAGATGACATTCTAAGGAAGGTAACTGTTGATATTTAACTGTTTTGGTTGGAGGGGTGACTGCTGTGCACGAATTTTACCACGATTGGAAAAAACTAGTTTCTATTCACTTAGATTTCAAAGTAGATAATTTCTCAGAGAAGATCGATACGACAACGAATGTCATCATGGCAAAAACCTTTCTAACCAACAAACTTATTTTCTCATACAACGCAACACACGCTTAGTATCAACTGAAAGTCGGTTAATATACATCTGACATCTCAGACTCCATCTATTAGTTTACGTGTAAATGAAAAAGTGAATACGTCAGAAATATGGAGAGACGAGTATCTATCCGGTTTGATGAACGTATGCCAAAGCATTTAAGACTTAAATAATCTTAATCGTTATTCAAAGTAGCTGCCCAGCATTTAATTGATACAGAAAACAATGTGTGTCTTTATCGTTTTTAGAATAATCAATGAACGGAGTAGTTGACCATAGAACGAACATGACTAGACTTTAGTTCATAAAGAATCGACCACTAACCAAGGTTTGCCTTGGCAATAGCTTGCTTTGACAACCCTATTATATCACTCTGTTATTACATTCCATTCATACTATTTTGACAAGTTTATTAACAGTTTTGTTTGCCTTTTTATTGATATTCACTCGTTTGTCAGTTTGATGTATTACATCCCTTATATTTCCTTATGGTTTCGATTGCTTCTGGTCGTTTCACTTTATATAATCGTATTTATAACTAAACAAGTATTGGATGCTCCTCACAGTTAATTTTGACGAATATATTTCGAGTTGATATTCAATCTGTTGCCTAAAACAATCTCTGATAATTACTTTTATCACGTAAATAAAGCATCTTACTGTTTTGTTTCCCAGTGACCTTTTGTAAATTTCAAATTGCCTGTGCCTGAAGAGAAGATATAAAATAGAGAAATGTGTTCTTTTCACTCCGAGTACCTGTTTTTCGCGTCGATGATATTTGTATTGTTTCGGATACTTTACACTCCAGTTTCATAGACTTGTTCTAACCACGACACTTAGTATGCGATAAGTAACTTAATTTTTCCTTTCTATCTTGTCTAGTCATAGACTTTTTCCATACCCAAACAGTTTACTAGGCAGTGGATGACAGAGTGCAACCATACACCCGTGAAGTAATCAAATTAGTAAACGAATAACGTATTGGTGACCATGTAACAGGTGTGACGAGTCAAATAAATTATGTCAAGAAACAGACAGAACAAACAGATGCACACATCGACTCACATTGCTAAATATTGTAATAACACAAAAAGAGGAGACCAAAATCCTGAAAGATGTTAAAATAAACATATAGATAGGCAAAAGCTGAGAAGCGGGATAGTATGTGAATGTGTGTGCGATACCATAATGGGTTTTGAACAAGACTGACGCTCTGTGACCATTGATTTTCAAAAGTCAGAAGACTCTAACCACGTAATAATTCCTGTCTGACTCGAACTAATAGTTACTGACTCCATTTGGTTGCAATCACTTCTAATTCTACCCCAGCCAATTTTTCGTATCAGAAGGAAGTAGCACAGCAAAGTCAACCGAGATTTCGAAAATAATAAAGAGTGAATACACTTGCGCTACTGTGATCGATTTCAGGTAATGTCACAATTGATTCGAATCATCTCGAGGACTTAAACCAGGTAGTCTACACCTTCTCACACAGGAACTGATGATGCATATTAGTTTGACCACCCTACAACTTTCTTACAAATTAATCCCAACTCCGTCAACATTGAAAGTCGACAGATGTGGTGGTTCGATATGCGAAATGTTTATCCAAATCTTCTCGGTCACTGAAGGTTCACAAGTCCAATAAATGGCCTACATCCTGTACCTGATACTACGCCAAACCTCAGTATTGTCGAGGTAGGGGTTCCACAAACCAGTAGTGATCAGAAATCTGCTACCTCTGTTTATCTCCTGTTTTCCACACGTGCCACTGCTGTAAAAAAAAAGAGTAGTAGACTACCGCGTAGTACAATCAATCTTTAATTCGTAGTTAAGTATCCCACGGACAGGAGAGATGGTGTAGGTTGATGAATATCGAACAACCTCTTGTATTTAAGCTGAGATTGTGTCAGCAATCAGCTTATTAGGGTTGATTTAATTTCACAAGTAAGTTCATCAACACATTCCATCACTTCACTCCTTATCCTTTAAGTCCAACAACCCACCCAAATTGAGGTAATTAAAGAACTTGATTGACTTCCAGACCTTAATATAAAACCTGCGTTTAACTTCGACATCAATTATTTTATAAGCCCATAATTTACAAAAGAAATGAAGATATCTGTGATAAAATATTCAGTCCCCTCTAATGCTTAATGCTTAACTGCAGTCACTATGCACTCCCACATCACAATTCGTAATACAAATCAGTAAAGAAGTCAGTACAAACGCAGTCATTTACCAATATCACGCAAAACATGTGTTCGACTGCCTCACTACTCTCCTCGCATTGCGAATGACTTCGAGAAAACTACAACAAACAGATTTTTCTAGTACTTACGTCAAAAGGCAACACGTCTTTTTTGTGATAAACAAAATACTATCACAAGAAACAACCAAGAAAACTAGGTAATACACGAGTTAGCAAATAGTGTACAAATAAGCTTACTCTTTCTTCTTTCGATGGATGGATCACATTCACTTTCATACTTTCTTCGTCATCTTCCAAATCAGATTTTTCAAATTGATAACGATCAAAATCTGGACGAACCCAAGGTAAGCGTTGATTGCTCATAGTTAACCTTGGCCATGAGTCCTTGAGCTCCTTTCGTAGTTTAACATTCACAGACATATCGGTTACGACATATCGACTATTCTAGAGGATCACAGAGATAACAGTGACAAATCGAATTAAACTTCCTGAAAGAAAAACGGCTTGCATTACCCCTACCTAACGGAGCATACCTGAGGCGACAAGAAACCATAAATTTATTTTCAAAATAAGAGTGGACTAGACACAACACTAAGTTTATATGTATTTCGAAACTTTCAATCAGTTAAGAATTCGGTATACCCATTAATTTCAAAGTTAAATTAAGAGTAAATGTACTGGGATTTCAGAGTAGCAGTGGCAATAGAAAAATTAACACGAGTTTCCTAATGTTATTCACTGCAAACATAGTAAATTTCAACAATTTGCACTTTAACATAAGACTAAAACTGATAACTAAACACTTTATAGCCAATCTGCAAGCAGCAGTTTGATTTGTAATATTGTTAGATGACTAGGCTGCAAACTCATGTTGATACACACCACGGTATGGTTGGAAGGAGCAGTACACTTCCTCTTAAAATATGAATATGTCTTTCTAGATCACGCCGAAAAAGTCACTCTCACTGCCTGAAAGTAGTGGAAATTGTTTCGAAAAAATCGAAAGGATGAGAAGTAATATCCAGTGTCAAAATACCAAGCGAGAAATTTTGAAAGGTAAACTGCTACTTCAGCAAAACCGACCCATTTGACACCGCCAAACACCAAGAGACAATAAGATACTTAAACAATTTAGTCCAGTAAGCTTTTAAGAACGGAGTTGAAACACTAGGAAGCAATTCCTTCAAGTAGGTATGGAAAAATCAATATTCTATCAATCTGGAATGAGATTGTCATCATACCAACCTCCAAAAAAAGCCTATTAAGAAAACGTGGGGATCATCGGAAAACTAGTTTGCTACCGGGTCCGTCCAAAATAAAAACTACAAACCGAGAACACCTTGACTCTATGACCAACAAGTAGAAAACCGAGTACCATTTAGCATTTGTCCTGGTGCGAACTTGACAGACGCAAAGACCAATCACTAATTATTCGGACTTGTCATATACCCACAAGTACGACACCAAGGAAGAACACGATATCATAGTCGGACGGAATAGTATATTTGGATGGTTGTGCCAAAATACCGATGCGTTCCAACTAACTGGCTAGAGAGTCGAACACGAGCAGTGCAACGTAACACGACAGCGTGCCAAATGGCGAGGATGCTTGACCGGCTGCCTTCGGCATAGTGAGTCCAGTTAAACTATCAAGGTCAGCATCAATGTCGAAAGTCGTCAAACCCTAGGCTATTGATTTTGGGGAAGTGTGTGACGCTACAGATCACTCCCCCTCCTAGTGGGTTCGTGAGGACCCTAAGACGATACCAGCCAGAAGTAAAAACCTAGTGGTTTCTCCACTGGTAAAACTCTTCCGATGAGCTCACTGCGTGAAGTGGCCCCTGGTTGTCTGAACTTATTCTAGCGTGTCGTGGCAATTAAAAAATAAAATGCAATAAATCGAATTGGACGTCGATCGCAGTCCTCAGTTCCTTTTGACATTTCGTCCAGTGCTCGTTGCATCTGGAATATAAATAAAAGTCTTTAATACCACGAAAACGTTTCGTAAAAATGGGAATTATGTATATGAAAATATATCGAAAATAAAGTTTACGCTTGTTTTCACCGTTTTTTTTTAAAAAAGTTTCGTTACAGGGTAATAAAAAAAATTGACATAAAAAGGCAAAATGTACGAGGATTTGCGCATTGCCGGTAAATAAGAAAAACAATGCCTCGGAAAAAAAATTTGTAAGTAAAAAAGTATGGTTGGCACATTTTATTCCACACCGCTAAGTTGGATACGATACTCCGTGAACCTGACGGTTCGACCTGATCGTGTTTTCTGTTGCGCCGATGGTTGTTGTAACTGTGCATTACCAGGCACATCGTCAAGAATTTCGATAATTGAGCTATCCGTCGGTCGGCTGTAGCCAGCTGAAGCGTCACTTATAATGGGGTTGCCTTCGAAATAAGCTGGTTTTAAACGGTCGATACTGACAGTATCTTCACGTCCACCTCGCTCAATTATGTAGAATTTCTCGTGTCGCTTGATCACTTTGAATGGCCCGTCGTAGAGTGGTTCAAGTGGTCGACGAACGGCGTCGTGGCGAATAAGCACGTGTGATGTCTTTTGTAAACTGGGGATAAACCTTCGGTAATAACTTACCAGGCCGTTGAAAGTGCGGAGATGTTTCACAGTGGTCGGCTCTGGATAGTTTGTGATAGCCGCCACTTTATCTCTCAATGGGCGTATACCTTTGTTGTCAATGGTATGCCCAAGGAAGCTGAGTGATTCAACTCCTATTTCACACTTCTGTAAGTTGACTGTGATGCCATGTTTTTAAGTCTTTCGAATACGAGGTCCAAATGTTTAAGGTGAGTTTCCTTATCTGGACTCGCAATTAGACAGTCATCGATGTAGACATGAACAAAATTCAAACCACGGAAGACATCATCCATAAAGCGTTGGAATGTTTGTGCTGCATTCCGAAGACCAAATGGCATGCGCAGGAATTCAAACAGGCCAAAAGGAGTAATAATGGCTGTTTTCGCGATATCTTCTGCTGCCATAGGTATCTGGTTGTACGCTTTGACCAAATCGATTTTGGAGAAAATGTTCATTCCGCATAAGGTTGCAGTCAAATCGTAAACGTGAGGTATCGGGTAGCAGTCCGGAGTTGTTTTGGCGTTAAGCCTTCGGTAATCACCGGTTGGACGCCAGTCGTTGCTATCCTTTTTGGGAACCATGTGCAGTGGTGATGCCCAAGGACTGTTTGACGGTTTGATAATGCCCAGTTCGAGCATGTGGTCGAATTCGCTTTTCGCCGCTTTGAGCTTATCGGGGGCTAAACGGCGCGCTTTGGATGCCACAGGTGGACCTGTGGTTGTGACGTGATGCATAACATTGCTGGTTATGCACGGAAGAGTGTGCTTCGGTTGCTGCAACTCTGGATATTTCTCCAAAACTGCTTGGTAGGACGCGTCGCCTGATTGTTTGGTTCTAACGATGGCTAAACTCGGACCTACATAGGTGGTGCCGCCAATAGATAACTTTGTGTTGTTATATCAGTCGTCGACGGCGAGCATCTACGAGTAGATCGTAATGGTTTAGCAAATCTATGCCAATGATGGGCATAGAGACGTCAGCCAGGAGGAAAATCCAGTGGATAGGTTTAGGTAAACCTAAGTTGAGGTAGGCATACCGTCTCCCAAATGTCGCGATTGCCTTGCCGTTGGCTGCTTGGAGATTGAAGGATGGGTCATGATGACGCTCCTTTGTCGGTGCGGGAAGAACGCTAACTTCTGCGCCGGTGTCGACGAGGTAGCGGACTTTCGTTTTAATATCCGTGACGTAGAGCAAACGGCTGTTTCCGCCGGCTACGGTTGCCATGAACACGTGCCGGCGTGACCGTTTCCCGAGTTTGTGTCCTTGTTAAAACTGCATGGTTTCCGACATTTTCCGGCTTCGCCTCCGTAAGTATTATGAAACCAACACCATTTCGGGTTTTCCACCCTGTTAGGTTTAGTTTTGGGGCAACCACGAGAGTTGCTGCGATGCGCTAAGACGCGTTTCTGTGGAGTGCTACGTGAACTAGGACTTCAAGATCGCAGCAATTGTTTAACAGAGTTGCACAGCTTGGTCACCTCTGAATCCTGGCGCTCTGGTTTGTCGCAGACAGAATATACGTTGGAGATCTCCAGTATTTTATCTGCCGAGGCTGCCAGGTCATCGAGTGGGACTGACTGCAGTGTCACCAACACGGTTTGCACCGGTTGTGGTAGTTTCGAGAGAAATAGTTCTCGGAAAGGGCCATCGTCGAATATTCGTGCACCGATAACTTCTCGCATGCGTGCGAGGACTTCAGTAGCTGAGTGGCTGCCTAGCTCGATGTTACGAAGTAATTCGTCTAGGCGCTGGCGATCTGTCAGATCGCTTTTCTTCAAGAGTGCGGCTTTGAGAAGTGCATAAGGATCACTTACTTCAGGATTAAACATGTGTGCCGTAACATGCCTGTTTAATTCCTGCGGTAGTGAACGTATGACGGCAAGAAATCGAGAATGAGGATCTGAGACACCCTGTTCTCGAAAATCTGCCTCGGCATACAGAAACCATGTTTCTGCATTGTCTGGCCAATATGGCACGAGTTGGATCGTGTTCGTAGTCGGCTTAATACGAATAAGCTTGGGAGTGTGGTCGGACATGAGAAAGTGTAGTAAATGGATATATAAATGTTATCGAAATGAAAACAATGTACAAAAATAAAATGGAAAAGGCTCACCAATTCAATATCTGTTATTGGTCGCGATATGTAATCACGTCGGGCTCACCAATTTAGGATTTGTTCTGGTGCGAACTTGACAGACGCAAAGACCAATCACTAATTATTCGGACTTGTCATATACCCACAAGTACGACACCAAGGAAGAACACGATATCATAGTCGGACGGAATAGTATATTTGGATGGTTGTGCCAAAATACCGATGCGTTCCAACTAACTGGCTAGAGAGTCGAACACGAGCAGTGCAACGTAACACGACAGCGTGCCAAATGGCGAGGATGCTTGACCGGCTGCCGTCGGCATAGTGAGTCCAGTTAAACTATCAAGGTCAGCATCAATGTCGAAAGTCGTCAAACCCTAGGCTATCGATTTTGGGGAAGTGTGTGACGCTACAACCTAAACCAATACGCTAGTGCTGCATTCTGTGAAAAGACTTGGGTACTGTTAAATTATAAGCTATATCTTTAACGAAATCAAAAGTGGGAAAAGAAAATCACAATCGGATGAAATAAAATAGTTCATCTCAAACGAAAAACTTACTTCAGGGACTATGGGAAGATAGTAGAAAATAGAAAATTCATACTTTTTGATGCCATCAGCACCAACTCCCAATGCGGAAAATGTTAACTCCTCCTCTTTAATGACGATGGTATCAACCTAAGTATCTATAGGTTGAAGATCAGGTAGACATACATTTGCATTAACTACTTTGATTGAAAGGAATACGTATTCTTCTGACTGACCCCAATAGACAAACGGATGAATACATTTCGTGAAGTCCGCCATCTAAAATGCTCCAAATAAATACAGTGAAAAGATTCTGTACATAAGGAGAGTTGAGAAGAAGAGTAATAAGTACATTCGAGACTGGAAATCTATATGTATCATCCATACACAATACAAAGCTAACTTCATAAATTAATTTACCATTCTCGTCAAGAAAGTTACCTAACGCTACACCACACAATCAATACTTCAAAATACACTCCATAACACTTGCGACGTCTTCATTTTATCTGCAATGATTACTCGTCTCTTAGTTGTAGTTTCACAATCGAGTGCGCTGCAATATAATTGACGGACACCATTTGCGACTTCTGCATCCATGGATAATGGGTTTTAATCGTACCGCTTCGATAGCGGTTTGAGTAGCTGGGTATTAGCACACCTAATTATATATATATATATATATATATATATATATATATATATATATATATATATATATATCACAATGGAAGTACAATATTTAATTAGTTAGGTCAAAAGGAGAATGAAGTGAACAGTAGTGAGATACCTGGCAGTTTTGAATCGCATAAATTTGAACGCACCACACAACAAAAGACTCACTAACTTACTAGCATCAGTGATAGGACTTATAGTTTCCAACAACAATGCTACTAACTGGCAAACAGAATATCAGTGGGCGTTCATTCATACTGCTGGTGTCTTTCAAAAGAAAATGGATATGAAAAAGTTAATGGTTAATATCGACAGTATGCTAGCAAGGTGTGCTAGGCATGCTAAAATTAAGCGAAGGAATAACAAATAAATCAGCCTCCAGTATATATGTTACAAAAAAATCGCAGCATCTTCAAAGATTGATTCACAAATCGCTTCAAATATCTAGTGATGTATAATAAACGTGTTTGCATTACCAACCATTTACCCTAACAAACCTAACCAGAGCCTAACTAGGGCTATTCAACATGGGGCCAAATGAGGCAATTTCACCGTGAAGTTTAGCTATGGAGACTGTATAGTTCCTCACTACAAATCATGGAGTACCGCGTAGCAAAGTTAGGTGGTGAGCGAACTAACCACAACCTACAATTATTAGCATGCTGTGACACGCATTTTTATAAGTAAATAGTTTATGCAAGCGTTATTCAACACTGAACAGTTGAAGCGCGTATCCCTAAGGAATTCGCATAAATCCAAGCAAATGCGCTCATACAATAGTGTGAAATAATAAAATTTAGCCTATACGGCAACAGTACCGAATATCCAAGGGAAACAGTATCCTGAAGTCCTTATTAAGCCTGTTTTAAAATACAGCTTCACTATCATTGAATCTTATGGATTAAAGACCACTGAATATATTTTACTGAACTACATCTTATCCGAACTGTTTGCAGACTGGAACATTTGGATGACTCATAGAGTAATGTAATGGTTTGTTTCGTGAATAGCATTTTTGTGATTGAAGCAAAACAGGAATCACAGACAATACCGGTATTACTGGTACATTCCCCTGCCTACAACAGCATCTTAAGCGACCAACTTAGCCGATAAGTTGTTTCGCACACTGAGAATCCCTGAAAATAAAACAAAGGCGTATTGAAAGTCATTCGACAGCAAAAAAAGATCACTAATATCAGAGACAAGTCTGTAAAACACCACGTCTTAACGTTCACTACACATTTTGAAACTCGTTGATCACAATTGAAAGCTCATTACAAAATTAGTTTATTACTATAGCGAGACAATGTACAGAAGAAATATTATTGTTTGTTGTACAAAGATATCAACACAAGACAAATCTTCTAAACACCGAATCACCAAGTGGATTTGTTTCCAGCTTAGATTTCTGAAGAGTGGTTAGAACTCTAAATATTTGCCGAGCAAAGATTACTGATACATTCAAGTAATGACTTTCTTTTGGATGTCACTTGATGCGAAACCAATTCACTAGGTAGACCAGATTGCCAAGACACATCACCCTTTAATATCATGTCACATATGATCTCTATAAAGACCATACAAAATATCCCACAATCATACCCATTATTTTGCTTTAGAACATCAAGGGGCTTTACATTCACAAGCGAAATACCAAGATAATTAGACAACTTGTGAGACAAACTTATTGCCTCCGAATAATTAGGGGTGGAATCCAAAGAGTCCAAGTGGTAAGCGCACTTAAAAAAGGGGGAGTAAACAAGCAGTGACCAGTGAGATCCACCGGATGAAACACGTGATACAGCGTCATTGATGACTAAAAATATCCAATCCCTAGTACCGCACTCTAACGGATCCAAAACCAGTCCCACAGATTCTTTTTCCATCAACTTCAATAAATGAGACGCGGCTGGGTCCATTAAGAGAATATTGTGTGACTGGCATAGTTTTGTATGCCGCAGATACTCTAGGTGAAATGTAATTATGTTGTCGTTTACGAAATGGCCTTCTCTCAAAGTATCCAAATCGCTGTTGTGTAACAGAGACTCGTGGTAGCTAAGAACAACATCAGATGACATTATACACAACTCAGCATAAAATTATATCAAACTATAACGCAAGTTTGATCTGAATCTTAAAAGAACAAACAGTCGGTCGACCTTCAAATTGTTTCAGGCACTTCCTGTGTCCAATATCTATTTTTATGTCCCCGTATAGACCAACTTTGTTTCTTCATGGTCGCTTCTTGGTCCTATGGAATGATTCTGGGTCCAGGGTCGATTCCAACTCAGTAGATCTAGCTACTCATCTGTTATAGCTCTAGTAAATAGGAAGGGTGAGTGGGTTTCGGTAAAATTTAGAGCTAGATGTATGGTTCGTTTTGAGACCATGGTACAGATGGACTCTCGATACCGCTAGACAGCTGTTCGGGTTGGTCGCAAAGGGAGGTAAGGAGAACTGAAAGTCGACAAAAATGAACGAGAGAGAAGATGAGGAACCGAATATGAGGAAACGAAAACTGAAGGACAAAAAACCTAGGCAGGTCAACGGTACACAGGAAACAAAATAATGGTATGGAGTACCTCACTGAATAAAATCAAATGGCGAGGAGTGAGAGTCGGTAACGCTATGAAAGATAATAGCAGGAATAACAGAAATCGAAATATTATTGGTGATAACGTCGTAAATGAGAATGAAGCGTCACACACTTCCCCAAAATCAATAGCCTAGGGTTTGACGACTTTCGACATTGATGCTGACCTTGATAGTTTAACTGGACTCACTATGCCGAAGGCAGCCGGTCAAGCATCCTCGCCATTTGGCACGCTGTCGTGTTACGTTGCACTGCTCGTGTTCGACTCTCTAGCCAGTTAGTTGGAACGCATCGGTATTTTGGCACAACCATCCAAATATACTATTCCGTCCGACTATGATATCGTGTTCTTCCTTGGTGTCGTACTTGTGGGTATATGACAAGTCCGAATAATTAGTGATTGGTCTTTGCGTCTGTCAAGTTCGCACCAGGACAAATCCTAATGGCTTTTATTTGGGATGTATATCTTTGGGTGGAATTCATAATAATATGGTGGACACAAGGTAATTGTTATGGAGAAAACTGCCCGAGAACGATGCGAATTAGTTCGGTTAGCCCACCTAGTCTGTGTCTGAACAGAATGACCATAAGACATGTGTCGCTGTGTAGCGGCCCAAACCTTCCCAGAAGTTGTCTATGCATAGGGTAGTGACAGGCTTAGGAGGAGACGCCTTCCGGAGGCCGCAGATTCAAATACAGGAAGTGCGAACTCGCGCGACTTTTCACTCTCTCTTTTGGTTTTCAAAAGGATTACACGGTGTCAGTCCCGGTAACTTGAATTACTTGATATATTTCGGGTCATTTCCAAATCACCATGTAACTTACTGCGAATTAGAGAGTAAAAGCATAGGTCCTTTAGCCCATCGCCATCTGACTTTCGTGACATCCCCACAACACTTCGCGGCTTGCCTCCAGGCTCTCTCCCATATATTTGCGTATCCTATGAAGTATGATGGTCCAGTTGCTTTGTGACACTCAAGATGAGGTTGCATGTGGGTCTTGTGAGGCTTTAGAAGGAGTTCAGGAACGAGGAAATTTAGCTTTCTATGCACGAAGTGTAGCAGTGCATGAGCATCGAAGGAACTAGTATCTAGTCCATCGGTTGTAACTTGTCCAAGGTCTTTCTTTACTGTCGTTTAAGCAAGACTCATATCACAGTGACAGTAGGATGTTTCCTGAGGACCAAGAGAATGAAAAACATCCTGTGGCACCCATCTGTGTCAAATGCCAGTCCCCTGTCTGTCATCAGTCTGCAGCATTCCGGGATCACCTTGTAGCTCATTTGATTCCCACTCGGATGTTACAGGTATCCACAGCTCAATGTTGTCGGCTTGAGGTAGAATCAGGAATTCAAGGTCAGGTGAGAGGTTACTCACAAAAGCAGTCGCGGCATTTGACACTGAGGCACCCCTTAAGTTGCACCGGATGATGCGCTCCACGTTGGGGAGACCTTTTTGACTTCTGTGTAGAACTCTCAAGCGTCTAGGCAATTCTCCAGCCAAAACGGCGCCAGGCAGCTGATGCCCAACCATGCCGTGTAACGCACAAGAATGCCGTGTGTGGCTGAGTGGGAGACCTAAGGAAAGTTCCGAGGGATCCTAAAAATCGGAGCTCGAAGTTCCCAACGCGCTATCCAGTTGCAACAGGCCTTTGGAAGGTTTGATGCATAAGAAATGGGCCGCTGAGAGCTGTGTCGAGCATCAGTTAGTGCCCCTTTTGGGTCCGACTATCTTTAATACGGTCGTCTACTAGGCTTTTCATTACTGTTGGCATGACTGGTAGGAATTCCACAGGCTGGTGGCACCTCAGTTTCTGCCTGTCTTCTTCGAAGATGGCACGTTTCCGTGATCTTTGGAGTGTGCGTTCGTCCAATGAGAGTTGAAAAAGATTACGGAAGTGGATACATAAAGGGTTCGTACAATGTTTCAACACACACGGGCGAACGTATTCACACCTTCTCCTGTGCACAGCTTTGAAAGCTTTCCGAGAATCGTAAAAAGATTTATCTCTAATCAGCGTAACTTCTGCAGAGGGTACTGTTAGGGGCTGTTAAGGTGTTGGCAAGTTCGACTGGGTGGCGATGTTTAATCTTAAATCAGATGTGGCGCTGAACGTTTCGCGAACCCCTAGTTCAGAAAGCTTCCCCCACCTGAGTCTTTCATGACGCATGCTCCTTGGTCAGAAGACTTTCTCAACACCATAAATTGATGCAGGTTCTTGGGGTTCTCCCCAAGTTCCTGGATAAGGTTTGTCTGCAACGAACCCCTATGCTACGGCACTTTGATGCTCCATAGACTGCCTAGAGCACTTTCACAGGGCTCTTTTGAGGATGGGCCCCATACTTTCCTCCTGGTTTCCAAGAGGTGCCACGTGCCTTGCTTCAGCCATGACGTTCACTTCTCAGTTGTTTCCACCACAGGCAAATTCCCAGAGATCTTCATCCTAGTGAAATCCCTCACCAGTTCCCAGCCCTCAGTCAAGTGATACACAACGCCACTTCCTGGGGTCTTGGGTCTGTCGATGGATGTTTTTCAACTGACGAAATGTGCCCATTTGTTCATTAGCAAGAACAAGGCACGTATCGGCGAAGAAATATTCCTTTTCAAAGACTTCATTATCAAGCTGTACATCCGCATTTATACTCGGTAAAGTGGTAGGCAATTGGACTAAAAAGTTGCTCCGTCAATATGCAAAATGTACAATCGGTGTAGGTGGTGATATTTGTCCAGGCGGAAGAAATAGAAGGTGTGTTATTGAAAAGGGAACGGATTGTGATAACAAGTGGTGAGATAAGAGACAACCGTTGTCAAAGAATTGCAGAACGGTTTTGCATAAAGCATTGTCATTGGTCTGGACGTTTTTACCTCGTCACATTCACATCATTTTCACAGCACGACTAGCAGTCCGTTTCCCGCACCCATTTACAATTTATCTCGCTGAGTGGCCAGTCCTTACTCTTACTATGTTAACGTGCCGATTTGTGGAAGCGATTATATCCCACGTTCATACATACTAATGTGTTTTGGGTTTAGTCGACTGTTATTATGGGAGGAATAACCTCTCCCGCCTAACTTCGGTCTCCTCCTCTATTCTTCCCAGGTGGCGGTAGGTGGCTGTTGTGCAGGAAGTTAACCGCCGGTTGAGCATTCGTATTATATCCATTTGGAATATCTAATACCTATTCGTGTAACTTGAAGCAGTTCTTGGTTCTGTTCCATGCTGCTACTGAAGGCCTGATAGGCTCTCCCGCATCAGATACTTGTTGAGTTCAACCGTAAAGTGGCATCAGACTGAATGTGGGAGCTTTGACATCACAATGTTATTAGCTCACTTTTAAACTGGCCAAATACCTGGTTTACCGTTTGGCCTACCGTCTTGTGCTCCCCGTCACCCCTGAATAGTAGCGTAGTATATATTCGCCCCCACATCACTAATGTTGGATGATAACGGAGTTCCTACCAATGTCACAACTTTCGAAGCAAGGTGAGAACAGAGGGATTTTAATTTCACCATGTTACCGCCGAGACTTTTTGCACTGCCGTGAAACACTTGGACGTGCCCCTCTCGGTGTTAGACGTTTGGACAAAGAACGACAACTGGGGATTGTAGGTAGTGGTTGAAGTTACTGCCCTCCCGCATTTGGCTGTCATCAGACTGGCCACTGATATAACTGTCCGCTGAGCATTACTGTCTATTTCGGTTTTTAGACTCTTCGCGGTTGTAGTCTCGGTGGATGTTTGGATTCCAGTGGCTACCAGGCAGTCCCTTATCGGCTGCCCCGAAGTAGACTGTTGCTGGAAGTGGTCCCACCCGACACTGAGGGCAAATCTAAAGGAACTATGTGTATGGATGGTGCACCACGAAAGCATGATACTGGTCTGTTGCACATCACATTGACAATGAACTCACTTATTTCAGAGGCGACACTCGAAGTCTGAGTCACCTGCGGCTACGGTAGGGTCACACATATGACAATGTCCGCCGTAGGCAGAAGATTTGGCTTGCAGTTTCCTCTGCGTTTGCTGTTGCTTTTTCTTTGTAAGTTCGTGCGGGAAGATTGGAGTTTAGGCTAGTTATGTCGGCGAGATCTGCTAACCGAGAGAAGAGGTGTTTTGAGCTGCATGACTGATAGGGGCCCGACCTTTTTGGGGTAAGGGTAGCCACTATCGTTCGACCAAGTTCTATCCAAGTGATGAGCTAAGGTTCTTCAAGCCGCATCTGTACCTCTCAGCTTCAGCCGTCGTTACTGCTGCCCAGGCTCTCTACCACCGGTGATGTGTCAGCGACGCAAATGTCATCAAGACGTGGAGAGGTGTTAGCTGCGAAGACGAACTGGGCATGATACTGAAAGACCTTAGGGTCCTCGAGTTGTGGGCCGAAGGTTACTGGTTGTGATTCAGAATGAGGAAATATCATGCATTTATCCATAAGCTTTGCTCAAGCTTTATGACACACTTGTTGAAAATGACATGTTTCCTCAGTGCTTAACCGCCACGCATAATGTAGGATGCTGGTCTCTTAGCAGGAGCCCAGAGGCAGGCAGTATAGTGCTGTCTAGCCACAGCACAAGCCACACGAAGGTCACATGTAGTCATTGGGTGCTAGACGCATGATCACCGCAGCATATGTAGCATCGTGGGTGAGGCAGCTTCAAGTAATCTAAGGAGCCCAAGCGGAAAAATTCCATCCTACGCTTGCCTCAGATATCATATTGCAATACCATGGAAATTGATCACCAAAAATTAGGAACAATGTTATCTCTAAGCGCAGCCAGACCCACTGAAACAACTCTTTAGGGGATGAAGTTTTAACTCCGACTGCTGGCAGCCTCGAGGAAGATTGGATAGCTGGCGAGAATGCTAAAATTAGGCGGTGGGAATTGACTGTCATCACAGTATTTATATTAACTTCTCTTTTGCCTCTAAACGTATCATGTATCATGCTCGCCAGCGACGTTAGTCGCCGTCACGTGCTGGCTCACACGTTTCCCGCCTGGTTGGCCTTGAAGGTGCAAGGTCGAGTGCACCTTTTGGCATTGGCACCACAACGTTTATGGTACCGGCACGACCTGGGTTGGGATTGTCACGATTTGGAACGTCTGCTACCGGTACGCGAGGCAGACCTGTTGGGCAAGCGAGATCTGCGACCGTTGGAAGCACTACCAGACCGCATTTCGTTCCTGATGCTGCACAACTCCTCATACAATTTCGAGATGTGAGCTACAACATCGAAACTTGTTGGCTCAACAGCCGAGAGAGGATGTTGGTTTTTGAACGAATCCGTGGCAGTAGACAGTGCAGCTGAGATACTAGTGTTGGGTTTCGTAGCATCCACAGCTCTGTCAGACGCTTCCGCCAGCCCTATTAAGGGACACTTATGGAAGGGTGCAAGGATACCTTGAACCGACTGTGGTAACCTCTGTAACCACAGTTGCTTAAGAAATGTTTCATCAGTGTTGAAGTCAGCAGTCAGCTGCTAAATCTGACGAAGCAGTTGCGTCGGCTTACGATCACCCAGATGCACATCCGTGAAAAGTTCTTGCACTTTCTGCTGGTCAGTAAGTGCAACACGTTTGATGAGGGCGGTTTTGAGGCGATCGTAAAGATTCGGTGCTGGGTCATCTAGCACATCTGAGACGTCTTCGATCACATTTTCCGGTAAGCTGACAATGACTAAGTTGGACTTAGTTTCTTGTGATTGAACGTGTCTCAAGGCAAACTGAGCTTCCACATGGGAGAACCACGCAGATGGTCTGTTGGCCCAGAAGGTGGGAAGCTGGAGGGTTACGGCCATCTGCGCAGTCGAGTCGTTATCCACCATTGATCAGGGAATTAACGAGGCACGATAGCCATAATAGAAAAAATTACAATGCAAAAATAACCAATGAGGAGTGCAATAATAAAAAAAAAAAAAACGCTAGACCGTGCCGAAAACAAAAATAGGCCAGACAAATCAACGCAAGAGAACAAAGGTGCTGGACAAAGTAAGAAGTGATACTCGGGCTCACCAATTTGTAGGGATGCGTGTTACAATTCCGTAACGTTTTATCAACCCTACTTAACTTGATGTGCTCTAGTACCTGCTTAACCAGTACTTTACCTAACGTGTAAGTACTGATAACAAAACACAAATCAAAAGAACTGACACGCAATGTATTTGAAGGAGCTATGTATTTAAAGTAAATGTAGTAATAATGAATGAGGGAAAAGTTTAATCAACTTATCTGGCTTGTAAGGCTGAACTAGGGACTCGGAGTACGTGCGTGGTGATCAGCACAATGGAGCGCAAAAATGGCTTCCAAGCCTGCTCGGATGCATGCTCGTTAAAACAAAACTTAAAACACCCTAAGCATCCTGAGGCAAGCTAGAGATTTATTTAGTTAACTTAATTTAAACTATTTATTTTAGCCCTAGTTATATTTTGGTGCCAGGAAGGTGCACTACACGGTGATCAACTTTTTATCCAGCTCCAGTGACCGACTTATTTTCTCTTTCGATTATGCTACTTATCACTCCAGGTGGGTCATATTTCAATGAAATATCCCAGAAGGGCGAAAACAATGTCTTTTGGGAATAACTTGTGAAATCCGGAGTCTACTGCGATGGAAGAAACAACATTGGAGTTTTACCAACAGCCCTGATGCTTCTGAGGTGAAGGAGCCGGGAGATACACCAGGACTGTGCGCTGGCCACATACATGCCATAAAAAGCTTAAACTGGGAATGATAAAGATGAGGTGGAGTTCACGGCGGGACCCGCACTCGGAAACTTCCAGTGAACATGACTCATAAAACACAAGCATTGATATATAACAGAATCAGCCCTGTGGACGTTAGTCGCGAAGATGTTCTTGGGAGATCAAGTGCTCTGTATGTGAAGAAATCAGTAAGATCGAGTGAGCCGCACTTGAAGTTTGAGACGGTTTGCACCCTACGAATATAGCCTACTGGCAACGACGTCCAGCGAAGCCATACTCCCAGATGTCCAGAAAGCCGCCAGTATCACACCCACATTTACACGGTGGATTCACGGTAGCATCCTTCACATTACCGGTCAAAAACTTTTGTGGTGAACAACTATTCTAGTTACCGCACGATACGAATGTTCATTGTTGTTTGTTTCTACTTATTACACTTGCTATGATGAGAGCAAATGCACTGACTATGGAATGTTGACTCTTATCTCTCTGGTGAGACTGTTCAATTCCTGATACAGTCACGTATTACAGCTCTACTGATACCGTTGTTAAGATCCATTATGGTCTACTTTGAAAGCAACACGTTTTTGTCACATGTATCATATAGCTTTCACGGGTGTCCTTGCTTAACAAACCTCCTCACAATGGGCAAAAATTGCATTGTCATGGAATGATACGATACCTGTGTTTTTTATCAGTATAGACTTCAGTAAAGAGTTCGACAAGATACATCATGAAACCGGTGAGTTTTAGAATCACCAGCCATCTGCTTGCGTGAACTAAAGTTCCTAGTTAGGTAGGGGATATTAAGTGAAGATAAGTTCCCAGCTATGTTTTTGGAAGTTATTGGAAAGTGGATTTCAGCCAGACACAGGCCTGGATTCCCTGCTATTTCTCCTGCGCTCAAATGAATTGTCGAGTGTGGACAATAAAAATCTGGCGAGAAATGAAAGATAACTATGGTGTAAGTACGCTTCAGACAGGTATAAACAGTTCGTTGCCTGAATCAGGCAGATGGTTATTACCTCTAAGCGCAGATCAGTGTACAAAAGTATGTATGAGGCTCGCAGGCAGCAACACCTTCGACATTAGGACTACTCCTCTACCCTCACTACTGCCCCCGAGTGACCAAGAAGCCACAATAGGTCACAACTTGAAAACCGGGGCACGCCGTCGACTGGCTATAGCCAAGAGTTTTAGAATAACGTGTGTTGTGTAGAGCTGGTACCAAGATAAGTGGTGGTATTCTCACCACTTCCTACACATCCCAAATAGAAAATTTGCACAAATGGCAAGTGATCGTCCGAAAGGTGCATCAGACCTTCCGCAGGGATTTTGGAGAACGATCACTCAAATGGTGGCTGCGATGACACGCTTCGCCCGTGAAGAACAACTCCAGGAGTTGAACCTTATTTCTTTGTCATATCACAGGTGGACAATGTTGTTATGGATATTAAAAAGTGAATTTGAACGTTATCTACCTAATAGTTTCCGGCTCCACTGGGTCAGAACAACCCATGCAATGTAACGGAAGGGCTTACAAGCAAAGGAGAAACGTCTTCTTCATAAAGTAATGGCTTTTGTTTAGGGCAATCAAATCTTGGAGCTGACTGGCGTAGACGGTTGACTCTTTCAAGAAAGGACAGAATAAAAGCAGAATTCTACTAAGAAGTGAATAATGTGGGCTCGCAGTTTTCTATTTTCAAAGTACAATTCCGAATCTGAATTTGATTGGCCATAGTCAGGGAAATTTATTGAGCATTGGGTGTTGAACGTAGGCCATGATGTGGCGCAGTTTTCAAGTATCAACACATTTCCGAGTATAAGTGAGGTTAGTAGTCGTATAGTGTTCTCTGTGTTCCACAATTTAGAAACATAGGTTGATATCTTGTATTCTTAATTTTTATTTCTTTTTCCTTCTTCAGTGGCGTAATATTATCCAAGTTATGTTGCGCCTGCCCATCCTAAATCAACAGTACTACTGACTAGCACCAGTGTCAGTATAGAAAGCTAATATTTTTTGAATTCTCGTATCTAGATTTTGAGTTTCATTTCTTTCTGTTCATACGTATCATTTCGGTGGGCTAGAAATCTTTTCAGTGTGCCTGCGTATAATTTTGGAGGCAGTTGTTTTTTAGCTTAAAGGTTTTCTTTGCAAGTTGTAAGCAGGCTATTAGGAGCAGTTACCTAGCTGTTGATAAGATCAATAGACTTTCCTTTCTTCTTGTCTCCATAGGTCTTTACTCTTCAGAAATGTCAACAAGACTCGAAAATTTCAGCCGGTTTTCGTCTTCCAGAGATCGCCTCTAAGCTGTGTTTTCGTACGTTTAAGGTGGGAGTTATGCATTTTGGAAATTGATCTTGTGAAGTAACTACAGAAAAGGCAGAAAGTCATGCCGCTATCAATGTGTAGGGATCAAGATAGTATGTTATCAGCCTAATTTTTACCGTAGTTTCTTTGAATACTTTCCCCGGAAAACATTCCACCGCTTGTTTTTGTTACTTGCTCCTATTGCTGATAACTACGAGACTCTGTGCCTTATTTCGAGATGATTTAATTAGGACTTTTGCATCTCTTTGATGGCCTTTAAGGTGACCAACCCTACTGGTCATTAGGTAAGCTTATGGTAATTATTCATATACCTGAAAGGCCGAAACTGAACCACCTTTTTTCTCACGATAAAATAGGAAAAAAGCTTTAGCCTTGATAGTTGCTCTTCATAAAGGAGGCAGGAAAAACTCCGTTCAGCTTCCTTTCTCACTGTGGACTAAAACGTATTAATCTAAATAAGATTCCAAATAAGCAAGGTGTAGAATCCTGAACCTATCCTGATCTAAACGTGGATGCTCTCCGAAGAAACCAAAGTACACCGCTCGCTGTTTTTTACCGATGCTCTAAAATTCTCAGTTGTTTTTGTATCAGGATATCCCTCGGCTTCAAAGAAGTCACGGAACCAGGGAAATTCCGTTCTACTATAACGCTTGTTTTGAGCAGGTTTTATGACGGTGAACACCTGATGAAAGCATCTCACACAGACAATGCTACATTCTGTTCTCTACGGGCAAATGGTTGTCCGGTTGTTCACCATCTTAGTTGATGCCAGCCGTATTACTACTGGGTGAACACTAAACTGAAAAATATAATGCACCGAGCACAACGTGCATGTAAAGGTCTTTCAACCAATAAATAATGAGACAAAGCCAAAACGCATATCATGCCAAAAAGCTGACAACAAGCTAACTGGTCTTTTACTGAGTTACTTTCAACTAAAGTGTACCAAGGTAACGACGAACAGCGAAAGCTAAAGTATTTCTCAACGTGGGAAATAGCGCTCATATTTTCAGAACTCGTGCCGGATATTGGACCAAGTCACCCGTTGGACCCCTTGTAATGGACAGTACTTTGAAGACTCAAGTGAATTAGGAAATACTGAGCGGAATGCCCGTTAGGAATCAATGCTGTCTCATAATTTGGTGTTGTCGAACCCAGTGTTTATTTACTTCAGGTGTACTTCAGGTTGTGAGATCAGTCCTTGAGGTTGTTAGTTACTTTCAATTATATTTCCCACAATAAGGTATATTACCGCTTGTCACGTATTCCTATTACGAAGAAATAAAGATGATAAGAAAACACTCGAAAACGTAGCTAAGTTCGGAGAAGTAAAGGCGTTTTTCTATAAAGTTTGGGCACACTTCAGAACTCCTGGAAGTTTCGGCAGAATCTTTGAAGACATTGCATATCCACAAGTATGTCGAAAGTCCTAGCACCCCTTTTCGTAATCAGTTGGTAGCGTATAAAGAAAAGAATGTGTAAGCCACGTAACAAACGGTGAAAAACTTCGTTTTGTTTCTCATGCATTAAAAAGTACAAATACCATAATAATGAACATTAACACTTTGGGCTGATTGATTACTGTATGAAATGCGACATGAGTGCAGTGTTTCAAATTGCACCAATGAGATAGCCTGCAGTTAAAGTCTTAGTGCATCTGCTATACGTTCACCATCGAGGTCGTTGCATTAAGCTTGCTAAGCAAAGTAAACCAACTTAGGCTTCCAATTTTGAGAGGTTTGTTATAAAGGTAAATTTAATGATACCATGTTCACAAACTGACATTTTGGAACATCCACCTCATTAGGATTATATGTAGACATGATGGTATCGGAAAATCAAATAAAAGTCCATTTCCAATATTAGGACCTATCTAACAGAAAACTGACTGACAGTCAGCCGGCATCGGCAAGGAAAATGGCGTTGCTATGTAACTTCCTCAGGAGTTACGCCTCTCAGCGTATCATAATAAAAGTACAGATAAGAAAATATTAGTAATTTCATCAAAAGTTGTGGAAAGTCATGAGAAGGAAAAGGAAAGGAAGTAAGGCAAATAACGAAATATGATATGGTGGTTGGATTGAAGCGGCTGCAAGAATGCATATGCTTTGGTGCGATTGGTCGTGAACCCTGTCATCCAGTCTTTAACCATCGGTTTCGGTTTTCACAGACTGCAACCTAGGAATGTGTCAGACCAACAGTAAGAGATTTCATGGTTTAGTCTAAATACACTTTACCTTAGCCTTTTATCCTATCTTGTCTAGCATAGCACGTCGGAGCAAAGTGTGACTGGGCATCCGTAACAAGTCTCATTCATCTGAGTTGATGGAGGTTTACACTCAGCGAGTGACTTCTTGCTGAAAACTATACACCTGAGCTCTATACTACTACTAGTAGTAGTTACTTGACGACCAATACTACGAAAGCACCTGTAACCGATTGCCTAAAGCCTTCCCTTATCCTCTACCGTGTGCATGTTTCACAGCCATGTAGTAGAACAGAGCTAGTGTCCGTAAGTATGATATGTGCTTTGCACAGTAGAAGTGCAAAGTACTTTTGCAAGATTGACAGTAGCGCGTTCCTGCACTCACCCTTGGTGGTGAGCCGTTGAAAGCAGTCGAAAAGTCAGTTATCTAGGTAGTGCTTTGAGTTCTGGTTAAGGTATGGTGAAATTTATAACCGCATATGGAAAGCCAGAGTGGCATATGCCAATCTAGACCACCTTTAGCGCCTTCGCGACTTAAGGTTGACTGTTAAGTTCGGGTTTACAAAGCTTCAGTGCCTGGAGTTTTGTTCTGCACCTGTGAAACCCGGCCTCTCTGAGCCGAGGATGTGTGGCGACTTTATTTGTCAGATCATCGTCGTCTCCGTAGGATTGCTCGTATCCGGTGGCAACACCATTTAGGTAATACTGAGGTATGACAGCGTGTGTTTGGATACGATGAAGATCGTCATTCAATAAGTGAAGCCATTTGGAAACACCTACTTTGATGGCTGGGATATATGTTACTCATGTCGTCCCAATAGCTTCCATACCGTTCACTGTTTGCTAGCCATGAGTCTAGGACTGGATAGAAGAAGCGGAGAGGTGGTCTGTATGACATGGTACCATGAGATGAGGAATAGTTGTTCCGGGTTAGCATCTGTTGGTCCATCACGACTTCATGGGTGGGGTTCGAGACATCACACAACTCAGTGGCTTGAGACATTACCAGATATAGTTGAGAATCGAAACCAGTGGCGGCTATGCTGTAGCTTCTTTTTATCTCCTGCTGCTAAAAAGTAGTGAATGTTTTGTTTTAAATGTGTCTTGCTGAACTGCCCTTCTAATCATTCTGTTCTGATTGTTTTTCTCTCATCCACTTCCCTTCTCTTTATACCTTCAGAGTAGTGTGATATTATTTTGTGTGGCGCATTTCTTGGTACTCTTGCTGTACCATGTTTCTGTCCGAATCATAAGTAGTAATAGAACAGAGTTAGGTGCTGCACAGCAAACCCAACCTGTGGTGGGCAATCCCAACCGATGGCTGCCACCTTGGCGTGGTAGTTGGGTTTGGATATTACAATGATGCAACAAGCTACACTGACTGAAACGCTTATTCTTTAAAGTCCTATCGTACCATAAATGTTTGTTGGGTATTGGTTAGAAAAAAGCTGCTACCGTCAAAGTGTAAAATACTACGCTATGATGGGGGTTCTGAGGGCGAAGTCTTTCAGCTGAGTGGGGTGTGACAGCATTGTTTCCTGTGAATGAACTGCAGAACCATATCGACCCTGACTTCCCCATGGGAAAGGAGGGGGATTATAAAAGGTGGTTGGCACTCAAAATAGCACTTTTCCATATCCCATGGTCTTCCGATGTGAGGAGTATGGAGTTTTCCTATCCAGCGTTGGACCAAAAATCTCACGCCAAGAAGGTTGTAAATAACAGGTCTCAAGCAGGTGTCCCACGGGCTATGAGATCGCACACGTCTTCACCTTTTTCTCTTTCAGGTGCCCTTCTCAGAAATAACTTCCACATTGTAGGCAGTAGTGAAGTGTCAACCACCTTTACGCTTACACTAGTATACACACAGTAGTAACCCAACCAAACGACCTACCTTTTTTATCTTTGTCTTCTCCTTTGCCTTCACCTCCTGATACCAACATTAAGCCTCTCACAACTTCAACTTCTCACTCTGCGACCAGTGCCAACGATCTAAACCATCAAACCACTATTTCTATTCTCCTAAGATCCCGCTGTTGGTTTCACAATGCATCCTTCAGCGTTTAGACGCTACACCAAATCGGATACCAGTCAACTACCGCCTGTGTGCTGTTTGACTGGATGGATGTTTAAGAACTAGGAAGGGTTGTAAGACTTGCTGGTGCCTTTTCATAAACTCCACCAACTGTAGTTCGGATGATGCAAAGGAAAAATTCTAATAAAGGCTGTCAATCTTGGTTACATAAAACAAAACGCTCAGATATAGTTATCAGAGCAGGCGACCTTAATGCTC